AAAGCAGCCCCCCCAGCCCAGCGCCCGCGCTCCCTCCCCGGTCCCAGCCCGCTCCTTCTCGTTAACGTCCCCATTTAACGAATTCTCCCCATCTGGGTTTTAAATTAGCTCGCTGCCACCTCGGACTTCTCCGCAGATTTGCTCGCAGTCTGTTGGGTTTTGGTACAATTATTTGCCTGCTTTGTTGGTTTGGTTTTTTTTTGTTTTTAGTTTTGGGGTTTTTTTTCCCCCTGCTCTCTTATATATATACATAAATTAAAATTAATATTGCACTCGCTTCCCTATTCCTATGCACGAGTACAACGGCGTTTTGCTGCAGGCTTTGCCACGCTGAAAGGGATGTTGACATTTAGGAAACGTTTCTATTCACCTCTGAGTTTTGTAAACTCTCCCATATGTAATTTTAAAAAAAAACTAAAAAATAATAATAAAAAAAATAAAAATAGCGAAGGCTGTGATGTGAAATCCCTGCCAGGCAAAAAGCAAAGCAAAGTTTCAAACGTTTCAGGCGAGCCCAATGTCATTTAAAGGTTGGCACCCAGGGTTTCCAGTGTTTCTAATTTCATTTTTTTTCCCTGTTATTATTTACCACCTGCAGGGAAAATTAAGGGGGGGGGGGGGGGGGGGGGAAAAAAAACAAAGGAAAAAAAAAAGAGAAAAATAATGGGATTTGGATCTTTTGGGGGGTTTTTTTCCCCACACCAGTTGCAAATCGGTGATGGATGGAGCTGTGCTCCTGCCTGGGATGGGGGAGACGGAGGCACCCGGGGCCACCGAGCCCCAAAAATCTGGGCTGGGTTTGACCGGTGCCAACAGATGCCCAAAATCCCCACTGGGCACCCACAGCCCCATGTGAGGGGGTTCAGAAATAAAGATGATAATTCCAAAACCCCGATCATCTTCCTTTCACCATAAAAAAAAAAAATCCACCAAAACTTATCAGCCCCCGACTCAACACCAGCTGCAATTTTTTTTTTATAGCTGCTGCTTATAAAAACTAACCCACAAAGTCTTTAAATCATTATAATAATAAGAGAAAGGTTCCTAGTTATTTAGTGAGAACTATCACTCTGCAGCTGGAAATGTCACTGCTCCGTCCCGCAAGCGGCAGCGCAGACATGGACCGTGCAGCGATGGCGATGGCAATAATTAGCCACTAATAATTAATTACCCCGTGGCCAGAATCGGGCTGCTCGGCCGGTGCCCATCACCGCAGCCACACGGGACTGGGCAGCACCCAACGGGGAGCATTTGGGAAGAAGAGGGGCCACAGAGCAGGGGGGGACCCCCCCCAGTGCTCCCCAAAAGAGGATGCGAGGGGTTGGAAAACGGACTGGTTTGGAAAACCCACTGGTTTTCCTTCCAAAGCTGGATTTCTTTCCGCTGTGCTCAGTCTGGGAGCTGTTGTCTCCGTCCCCCGGGGGGGGATGTGTCTTGTTGGAGATGATATAAGATTTTTCTTTCCAGCCACTTCCTCCAGCTGCTCCATGCTCCCCCCTCCCCGGGCTGGTTTAGGTGGGGATTTATTGCTGCCCCCACGGCATCACTGGGGCATCACTGGTACCAGGGTGCTGGGGGGGGGGACACCCCAGGGATGGACATTGTCCCCCCCAGGGACCATCCAGCCCTGGGGCTCTGCTGCTTTCAGCAAGACATGTCACCCACCGTCCAGTTGGTCCCTGTGGGGGGGGATTGAGTCCTTGGGGAACAAAGAACCCAGGGACCCCCCCACGGGGCTGTGGGTACCAAACCCCCGTTGCCACTCCCCCATCCGCATCCCATCCCACACCAGGGCAGACCCACAGCCCCCCATTGCCCCTGCTCCTCCTGCCCCACAGCCCCCCCAGAGCTCACCAGCCTCCCCAGCACCTTGCCCAGATTGGGGGGGGGTGGGGGGTAAATATCTGCCCCAGGAGCCGCACCAACCCCCCTGGCTCAAAGAGCATCCCCGTCCCAGTGCCTGCTGTGGGTTTGCACTGGTGTCCTCAACTGGGGGGGTCCGTAACGCAGTGGGGAGCACTGGGACTTGGCAGCCAGGCTGGGATTTCAGCCCGGGCTCAAGCAACACCCTCCCCAAATAATAATTAATGCTAAATCCTCCCCCCACCACCCCCCAGCACCGCTGCATGGACACCCCTGTGCCGAGGCACCGGGACTGGCACAGGGAGGTGGAACTGGGTGAAGCTTTTCCTGGGCAAACCATTAATAAATAGGCCTTTTGGTACCACCTGAGTTAAGGCAGGGAGTGAGGTGTGCACCAGCCCCACGTTGGAGAAGCGCCGGGTGCCGTTGCCCAGGGTCCGGTATTCCCGCGGGTACTCGGCATCGTCCGCCGAAATCATGTGGGTGCTCGTCCTCTCGGGATCTGCACGGGGAGCGGGGAGAGCAGAGCGGGGTCAGGGCCGGCCCCACTGCTATGGGGCAGAGGTGGGGTGCTAAGATTTTGGGGGGCAGGGAGGGGGGTTTTAAGGTAGGAGCGATAGCGGAACCCAACTGGGAGCGGGGTCACCCCTTCAAGGGACGCAACCGGGAGGTTGGTGGGTGCAGGGTTTGTCCCCCTGCGATGGCACTGGTGTCCCCACGGGCATGGGGCTGGTGGTGGCAGGGGATGGATGGGGCAGGGGGCAGCAGTGGGGGGGATGGAGGGGCTGGGATGCCACCGAGGCCATGATATTTGGACCAAAACAGGAACAAAACAGCGTTGGGTCATTAAAATGACACAGACAAGACACGAGCCGGGCATCGCTCCGGGGCACAGACAGACAGGGGGACACGGACACACAACCAAAAAGAAAATGAAATGCCAGGCTGGGGGGAGGCTCGTGTCACCTACACTGTGCTGCTGCCCATGGGGGTGGCCAGGACCCCCCCCTGCCCTGTCAGAGACCCCCACCAGAGGGACAACCCCCCATCCGTGGGCACCAAACTGCTCCAAACCCACCACCACCGGGCACCACAGGGATGCTCTTCCCTGTCCCAGCCTCTCCCAGCTCACCCCATCCCGGGCAGGGGGGTGGGCAGGGGGGTCACGCGTGCAGAGAAAAGGAAGGGGCACGTCCCTCTGCTAATAATTCATTAGCTGCCTAATTTCCAGGGAAGTTGTGCCCAGCACACAGAGCGCCAGCGGTAACGAGTGCCTGGAAGTGCCCACACGCTGCCAGCGCCTGGCAGCTCCGCGGTGGCTGCAGGACAAGGCCACCCCGTGATCCCCAGCCCCGGCCTCTGCCCCAAAAAATTCCACTTTTTGAGGGTCTCCAGCCCTCAAACCCGTGTCACACACAGCCCCGGGCCGGTCCTGGCCACTGTCACCGTCCCCGTGCCGAGCCCACGAGCTTTGGGAACCCGCAGCGTGTGTGTTGCAGGGACTCACCGCGTTAAGGCTTTTCTTTTTCGCTCACCATTTAACCTTGATCCATTATTCATCTCCCTCCTTGTCCTTCCTCCCCACCCCCTTCCTTCCCCAGCTCCCCGTTAACGCATCATAGAGGGTTTTTCCTTTTGCCTTAATTATTTATCAGCCCAACATATTAGCTTTATAACAACTGATTGTGTTATTAATGTAAGACAGGGCTCCGGCGCGTGCTACAGATGTAACTCCTCTTGCTCAAGGTCGTACCAGGGATTTGCTACGAGGACACAACGCTCTCGGCAGATGCCACGGGGACATCCTCACCCACCAAAGCTTCATCCCTTCTCCATAAAACAACCTCTCCAGCTCCCTCCCCGCATGGCCCCGGCACCAAGAGTGACCCCGGGCAGGGGACTGTCACCCCCCGTACCCAGAAGACGGCGGCAGAATGTGAGGGAGAGATGAAGCTCCCGGTCCCTCCCCACCTCTCCATCGGCCGTGTCCCCGTGTCACCGCTGCACAGGATGCAGAGCATCTGCCACGTGCAAAACACCCCGAGATGCCCCAGGGAAAGCGGCACGGGAGCGGTGCCAGAGAGGCCACCTCGTCCTTCTGCTGGCAGAGAAGGCGGCGCGCTGTGGGGCTGAGGGCATCGTCCTGGGGTCCCTGGGCTGAGGACCCTCTGCTGAACACCAGCCCCGATGGGGAATGTGGACAGAGCAGTTCCTCCTGTCCCACCAGCTGAGCCCTAGGAGCCACCTTCCCACCTCCCCTTCCCCATCACAGCCCCCCATAACACACACTTCTCGCCGAGGGTTTGCTGCTGCCGGGGAGAAAACTCCGTGACCCCGGGCAGGGGACCAGCACCCCCCGTACCCAGAAGACGGTGGCAGAATGTGAGTGAGAGATGAAGCTCCTGGTCCCTCCCCACCTCTCCATCGGCCGTGTCCCCGTGTCACCGCTGCACAGGATGCAGAGCATCTGCCACGTGCAAAACACCCCGAGATGCCCCAGGGAAAGCGGCACGGGAGCGGTGCCAGAGAGGCCACCTCGTCCTTCTGCTGGCAGAGAAGGCGGCGCGCTGTGGGGCTGAGGGCATCGTCCTGGGGTCCCTGGGCTGAGGACCCTCTGCTGAACACCAGCCCTGATGGGGAATGTGGACAGAGCAGTTCCTCCTGTCCCACCAGCTGAGCCCTAGGAGCCACCTTCCCACCTCCCCTTCCCCATCACAGCCCCCCATAACACACACTTCTCGCCGAGGGTTTGCTGCTGCCGGGGAGAAAACTCCTTCCTGCCCTTGGCCGGTCGCTCTGTGATGGCAAAGCAGCAGAGATGTGTTGGGGGAAGTGGCATCCAGCACCCGGCACCCAGCCCAGCCCCAGCACGGGGTGCCTGGACGTATCCTTGGAGCTCTCAGCTCCAGGGTGGAGGAGAGGGGCAGTGGGACCCCCAGCATCTCCCCCCCCCCAACGCAGGCACAGCACCCATTCCCACCAAACCAACCCCTCTGTAGAATCCCCCCCCCCAACGCAGGCACAGCGCCCATTCCCACCAAACCAACCCCTCTGTAGTGCCACATCCTAAGCACCACCAGGACACCCAGCCCTGTGTCCCATGAGAAAAGCAAACCAAGGAAGGCTGCAAAAGAGGGGTGACGGGGCACCCCAAAAGCCGCCGGCTGCAGCAGTGACAGGGCTGGGAGGAAGGAGCTGCAGCTCTTCTCCCTCACTGGGGAGAGAGGCAGCGAGGACGCCTGAGCCAGAGGAAGGAGAAGGGACGGGAGTTCAGGGGGTGCAAAAGGGACTGGATCCTTGCAGACCCCTCCTCAGTACCTTCACCAGCCCTGGGTTCAGCATCCCTGGCTTCTTCCCACCCTCCTCCTCCTCTCACCAATGCATCAGCATGCAGCTCCCCGCTCACTAATTACATGCTCCGGGAGTGGAACGCGCCAGCTCGCTGTCTCTCCACCGACTACTAAAAAGGATGATTTGAAAAGCCCTGCACAATCTGCAGAGGGGCCAGAGCAAAGCTGGATGCTGTCGGGGGCTCTTCCACCCCCCGCCTGCGCCGCATCCGCTCCCGCAGCCCTCACCGGGCTCCGGAACAAGCCGGGGGGGAAGGCAGTCCCAGCACCATGAACCCCACGATCTACGAACCCCAACAAGGCACGAGGAGGAAAAGCCACCCCAGACACGCATGAACCCGTCCCCACCTCATCCACCTTCTCCTGGAGCGGGCAGAGAACCCCAAAAAGTGACCTTAAACCACTCATGGTCCTGCTTCCCTGGCACCATCCATGGAAAGAAGGTGTCAGTCCTTCCCTCCTGGCTTCACCCCGAGGGGATCATCACATCCTGCCACCCGAAATGTCCCCCACCAAGTTGTTTCTCTCCCCCCCGTGCAGGGATGCTGGAGAAGGGGTACCCACGCAGGGGCTGCCAGCGATGCCACCAGCAGATCCCTGGGCAGAACTTCCCAAGGCTACTTCCAAGTAGGTCACTGGGGTGGGAAAGCTGGTGCCCAGAGCCTGCCCGGGGTCCCCACCTCGGTACTTCCCCGGCCCAGCCAAGCGGGGTGTCCCTCTGGGATGTGTCCCCCCCACAGAGGGACCGTCCCATCGCTTACCCGCGGGCGCAGGACGGCTTCCACGGCGACCGGCAAACTGCTTGGGTGGGAGGGGGCAGGCACCCCCCGGCTCCCCGGGGGCTGACGGCGGCTCCTTGGCCGGGCGCAGGGCTCCCACCACAGCCAAAATCCCACGGTAAATCCTGGCCAGCCCCTCTCCGAGCAGCGGGGGGTTAAAGGAGCGGGGTTTGCTTTGTCGATTCATCCATCCGTCTGCTTTACCTGTCGCCAGAGGTGTCACCGGGTCCCGGGGACCACAGCCTGTGCCCCTAGCAGGATGCGGCCATCGCCTGCTTCCCGGGAGATCGGGGGGCACCGGAGGCACCGGAGCTCCACCGGGAGATGCTCTTCAGGACCGGTGCTCTGCAGGCTGAGCAGCAGCTTTCCACCAGCTCCCTCGCTGGGAGACGAGGGTAGGAGAAGCCCCCAAAAACTTGTCCCGAGCTGCGGGCGCTGCCCCACCGGAGCCACGCCGGGTCGGAGGGGCTGCAGGGTCAGCAGCACCGTCCACTCCGCTCCCCCCCGCCAGCAGCTCGCCGGGGGTTTATCATAAAGAGGATCTTTCAAACACAGTTTATTACTGCAGTTTCATAAATCTTCATGAGGCAGCAAAGGCTCACACGGGCCGTGAAAAGCAACGGCAGTTAGCGGAGCATGAAAAATCATCCGAGAAAGCAATTGTACAAAAAAGGGGCGAAGGGAGGGGAAGGAGCGAGTACATCTGGGGAGAAAAAGGGCGGCGAGAGAATAGATGCCCCTCGGAGCGATGCGGCTCCCCCGCACCCGGCCATTAAAGGCAGAGGGAAGAGGGGGATGCTCTTGCTTTTTTTGGTCCTTCCTCCCGAAGGCTGCGGCTGCCGCTGCCTGCACAGCACCCGGGGAGGCTGCCCAGCACCCACAGCCCCGCTCAGTGCTAACCCCTTCCCTGCCAGGCTGCGGGGAGAGGATGGAGTGATGGAGCGAGGGCTGGGGAGGGCAGGGAGAGCCCACACCGCTCCTGCTGCGCCTGCGCTTCACTCCCAGCCCACCTCGGGGTGGGGGGGAACCCCAAAAATAACCCCCTCCTGCCCAGGAGGGGATTTGCTGGGGTGAAGGGACCTTTGGAGGCATCGTTGCCTGTGAGTTCCTGGCTCTGCCACGCTCTACTGGCACTCATTTGGGGATGGGGGCACGGTGGTCAAGTGCCCCCCCAGGACCTGCCCCAGGCTCCCATCTCACCCCCCCATGTGGGGCCAGGAAACAGCCACAAAGTACTGGGAGCTGTGGTGTCCTCCTACACCAAAGCTGTGCCCAGGAGTGGTGACAAGGCAGCTGGCACATCATGGGGGACACGAGCACCCTTCACCCAAGCCACTGCCACGTCCCAAAGGGGTCCAGCCATCGCTGGTGCT